AGAAAAATCTAAATCCAATATTTGGTGTGACCACCCTTTGTCTTCAAACACCATCACTTCATCTAGGTACCCACGCAGGTGGGTCGGTCCAGACCTCTTGGAGAACTCCCCACAGTCCTGTGGATCCAGGCAGCCTCAGCTGCTTCTCTCTCTCTTCATGTGATCCCAGTCCAACTGGATGATGTTGAGCTCTGTGGGGGCCAAACAGGGCTCTGTGGGGGCAACACCATCACTTTCAGGACTCATTGTTCTTCTTTAATCTGAAGATGGCTCTTAATGACTCTCACTGTGTGTTTGACCTCTTTGACACGCCGCAGAATAAATGTGGGGTCAAACAGATGCCTCCCTGATGGAACTGTATGATGGGTATAAGTATCTGCCTGTAATTCTCAGCATTGAGGAGACCATTCATTGTTACCAGATCCCAGACCTGCAGGACCCTCCACCAGCTTCATTCTTGTTCTGCTCTCAACCTGCTGCAGATATTTCACATGTGGACTCATCAGTCCAGAACTCCTGCTACCAGTTCCGCTCCACCCAGTTCCTGTGTTTCTATGCAGAGCTGAGTCTCTTAGTATTGTGTCACGACTGGCTCAAAACCGCGACAAAAAAAGAACAGTACAATGACACAAACTGCAGTAACAGTACCATTACTTTTTTAACAACAACTTAATATTCAAATAATCAGATGAAATGTGATAATCAGTAGATCAGTCATGTCAGCAGGTATGCATGCTTGAAGGAATAGTGAGTGCAGTGTTGTGTGATGAAAGAAACAAAAATAACGTGGAGCATAGGGAACAGGGTTTCCCTCCTCTCTAGCCCAAAGAGCAGAACATGAGATGCGCTTTTATCCTGGAGAACACCAGGCCCAGGTGGCTCCAACAACGGATGATTTTAACCACGCCTACTAACATCTGCAACACAGAACACAAAGAGACATCCCAGCAGCCAAAAGATGGGGATGTCACACTTGTTTCCATGTCGGAGGCTTTTTGGCTGCAAGTCTTCCATGAAGGCCACTTGTGACCAGACTTCTGTGGACAGTAGATGGTATACCAGGGTCCCATTGTTTCATTCTGCCCCTTTGGTTTTTTTGTTGCTGTTCCTGGTGTTAGCTGTTGCCTCAGGTTAATATTAACTTTAGGCTTTTGGTACTTTGGTACGTTTTCTGTCATCTGTCCTCCAACACTGCACACACAAATGCCATAATGAAAATAAACAGCACACTAAACCAAGAGTAGGAAACTAAAAAATAAAATGGACCCTCTGTTAGCCAACTTTCTGCAATAACTATGCTAGCTAACTACACCTGGCTAACTACAACTTAGCTAACTAAACTAGAAAGACAAACCAACAATTAGACACAGAGAGACATACGTACTGCACTTTTACAGTGTAGTGACAGCGTGTCCCATTTAAATGTCACAGAGAAGAAAAAATGTCAGATGTGGATATTTCATCATGGGGGGTGGCCATGATAAAATATCCACATCTGGCTTTCTCTGCCGTTTGTTACTGCTTTCATAGTGTACCTTTAGTGACCCTGCTCTCTGAGCTCTTCCAAAACCCACCTGTCTCACACTAACAGCAGCAGGACTGATCAGAGGCTGATGATCTGTCTGCATATTGATCTTTAAACTTCAACTCACAAATTCATTTCTTTTATGCTGGTTTTGTCTTTCTGTCCACCTGCTGTGAGGCATGTTGTAACGCGTGATGTCTTTGTCTGCAGCCTTGGCCAGCGGCAGTTGCTGTGTTTGGCCAGAGCTCTACTGAGGAAGACCAGGATCCTAGTTTTAGATGAAGCCACAGCAGCTGTGGACCTGAAGACAGACCAGCTGGTCCAGTCCACTATACGCTCTCAGTTTGATGACTGTACAGTCCTAACCATCGCTCACCGCCTCAACACCATCATGGACTACACCAGGTACCAGCTGGACTGCTTTGTTTTATGTCCCCAGATCAGGATGCAGGTGTCAATGTGTAGTCCAGCAGTATCCAGAAACATCAGGGTCTGTTAGTCCTTGCCTTTATGGTTTATGAAATAACTGATGTTCCCATACAGCAGCACGTTTAACTAGAGTTTATACAATGCCTTTATTTTGGAGACAGGCAGCCTGTCTGTACTAACCTCTTCCACAGCGATTTCAAACACCAGCTCTGACAGGAAAGCTGTTTAAATATTTAGTTTTTGGGTGACGGACGCTAAACGTGTTTAGATGTCCCATAAACTGACTCTCAGACTCGTCTTTTTTCGTCTCTAAATCCTCATCGGTTATTTTGACTCGTCTTCTTTCGTCTCTAAATCCTCATTCATTTTTCTTACTCGTCTTCTTTTGTCTCTAAATCCCCATTAGTTTTGCTGACTCGTCCTTTTTCATCTCTAAATCCTCGTTAGTTTTTCTGACTCGTCTTCTTTCGTCACTAAATCCTCATTCATTTTTCTGACTCGTCTTAATTCGTCTCGAAATCCTCATTAGTTATTTTGACTCGTCTTCTTTCGTCTCTTAATCCCCATTAGTTTTTCTGACTCGTCTTCTTTCGTCTCTTAATCCTCATTAGTTTTTCTGACTCGTCTTTTTCGTCTCTAAATCCTCGTTAGTTTTCTGACTCGTCTTCTTTCGTCTCTAAATCCTCGTTAGTTTTTGTGATTAATCTTCTTTCGTCTCTAAATCCTGGTTAGTTTTTCGGACTCGTCTTCTTTCGTCTCTAAATCCTCATTAATTTTTCTGACTTGTCTTCTCTTGTCTCTAAATCCCTGTTAGTTTTTCTGACTCGTCTTCTTTCGTCTCGAAATCCTCGTTAGTTTTTCTGACTCGTCTTTTTTCGTCTCTAAATCCTTGTTAGTTTTTCTAACTCATCTTCTTTCGTCTCTAAATCCTCATTCATTTTTCTGACTCGTCTTCTTTGTCTCTAAATCCTCATTCGTTTCTCTGACTCGTCTTCTTTCGTCTCTAAATCCTCATTAGTTATTTTGACTCGTCTTTTTTCGTCTCTAAATCCTCATTAGTTTTTCTGACTCGTCTTCTTTCGTCTCTTAATCCTCATTAGTTATTTTGACTCGTCTTCTTTCGTCTCGAAATCCTCATTAGTTATTTTGACTCGTCTTCTTTCGTCTCTAAATCCCCGTTAGTTTTTCTGACTCGTCTTCTTTCGTCTCTTAATCCTCGTTAGTTTTTCTGACTCGTCTTCTTTCGTCTCTTAATCCTCGTTAGTTTTTCGGACTCGTCTTCTTTCGTCTCTAAATCCTCATTCATTTTTCTGACTCGTCTTCTTTCGTCTCTAAATTCTCATTAGTTTTTCTGACTTGTCTTTTTTCGTCTCTAAATCCTCGTTAGTTTCTCTGACTCGTCTTCTTTCGTCTCTAAATCCTTGTTAGTTTTTGTGACTCGTCTTCTTTCGTCTCTAAATCCTGGTTAGTTTTTCTGACTCGTCTTCTTTCGTCTCTAAATCCTCATTAATTTTTCTGACTTGTCTTCTCGTCTCTAAATCCTCATTAGTTATTTTGACTCGTCTTTTTTCGTCTCTAAATCCTGGTTAGTTTTTCTGACTCGTCTTTTTTCGTCTCTAAATCCTGGTTAGTTTTTCTGACTTATCTTCTTTCGTCTCTAAATCCTCATGAGTTATTTTGACTCGTCTTCTTTCGTCTCTAAATCCTCATTAGTTTTCTGACTCGTCTTCTTTCATCACTAAATCCTCATTAGTTATTTGACTCGTCTTTTTTCGTCTCTTAATCCCCATTAGTTTTTCTGACTCGTCTTCTTTCGTCTCTTAATCCTCGTTAGTTTTTCTGACTCGTCTTCTTTCGTCTCTAATCCTCGTTAGTTTTTCGGACTCGTCTTCTTTCGTCTCTAAATCCTCGTTAGTTATTTTGACTCGTCTTTTTCGTCTCTAAATCCCCATTAGTTTTCCTGACTCGTCTTCTTTCGTCTCTAAATCCTCATTAGTTTTTCTGATTCATCTTCTCTTGTCTCTAAATCCTCATTAGTTTTTCTGACTCGTCTTCTTCGTCTCTAAATCCTCATTCATTTTTCTGACTCGTCTTCTTTCGTCACTAAATCCTCATTAGTTATTTTGACTCGTCTTTTTTCGTCTCTAAATCCTCGTTAGTTTTTCCAGCTCGTCTTCTTTCGTCTCTTAATCCTCGTTAGTTTTTCTGACTCGTCTTCTTTCTTCTCTTAAACCTCGTTAGTTTTTCTGACTCGTCTTCTTTTGTCTCTAAATCCTCGTTAGTTTTTCTGACTCGTCTTCTTTCGTCTCTAAATCCTCGTTAGTTTTTCTGACTCGTCTTCTTTCGTCTCTAAATCCTCATTCATTTTTCTGACTCGTCTTCTTTCGTCACTAAATCCTCATTAGTTATTTTGACTCGTCTTCTTTCGTCTCTTAATCCTCGTTAGTTTTTCTGACTCGTCTTCTTTCGTCTCTAAATCCTCGTTAGTTTTTCTGACTCGTCTTCTTTCGTCTCTTAATCCTCGTTAGTTTTTGTGATTCATCTGCTTTCGTCTCTAAATCCTGGTTAGTTTTTGTGACTCGTCTTCTTTCGTCTCTAAATCCTCATTAGTTTTTCTGATTCATCTTCTCTTGTCTCTAAATCCTCATTAGTTTTTCTGACTCGTCTTCTTTCGTCTCTAAATCCTCATTCATTTTTCTGACTCGTCTTCTTTCGTCACTAAATCCTCATTAGTTATTTTGACTCGTCTTTTTTCGTCTCTAAATCCCCATTAGTTTTTCCAGCTCGTCTTCTTTCGTCTCTTAATCCTCGTTAGTTTTTCTGACGCGTCTTCTTTCTTCTCTTAAACCTCGTTAGTTTTTCTGACTCGTCTTCTTTTGTCTCTAAATCCTCGTTAGTTTTTCTGACTCGTCTTCTTTCGTCTCTAAATCCTCGTTAGTTTTTCTGACTCGTCTTCTTTCGTCTCTAAATCCTCATTCATTTTTCTGACTCGTCTTCTTTCGTCACTAAATCCTCATTAGTTATTTTGACTCGTCTTCTTTCGTCTCTTAATCCTCGTTAGTTTTTCTGACTCGTCTTCTTTCGTCTCTAAATCCTCGTTAGTTTTTCTGACTCGTCTTCTTTCGTCTCTTAATCCTCGTTAGTTTTTGTGATTCATCTGCTTTCGTCTCTAAATCCTGGTTAGTTTTTGTGACTCGTCTTCTTTCGTCTCTAAATCCTCATTAGTTTTTCTGATTCATCTTCTCTTGTCTCTAAATCCTCATTAGTTTTTCTGACTCGTCTTCTTTCGTCTCTAAATCCTCATTCATTTTTCTGACTCGTCTTCTTTCGTCACTAAATCCTCATTAGTTATTTTGACTCGTCTTTTTTCGTCTCTAAATCCCCATTAGTTTTTCCAGCTCGTCTTCTTCGTCTCTTAATCCTCGTTAGTTTTTCTGACTCGTCTTCTTTCTTCTCTTAAACCTCGTTAGTTTTTCTGACTCGTCTTCTTTTGTCTCTAAATCCTCGTTAGTTTTTCTGACTGTCTTTTTTCGTTTCTAAATCCTCGTTAGTTTTTCTGACTCGTCTTCTTTCGTCTCTAAATCCTCATTCATTTTTCTGACTCGTCTTCTTTCGTCACTAAATCCTCATTAGTTATTTTGACTCGTCTTTTTTCGTCTCTAAATCCTCGTTAGTTTTTCTGACTCGTCTTCTTTCGTCTCTAAATCCTCGTTAGTTTTTCTGACTCGTCTTCTTTCGTCTCTTAATCCTCATTAGTTTTTGTGATTCATCTTCTTTCGTCTCTAAATCCTGGTTAGTTTTTGTGACTCGTCTTCTTTCGTCTCTAATCCTCATTAGTTATTTGACTCGTCTTCTTTCGTCTCGAAATCCTCATTAGTTATTTTGACTCGTCTTCTTTCGTCTCGAAATCCTCATTAGTTATTTTGACTCGTCTTCTTTCGTCTCATAATCCTTGTTAGTTTTTCTGACTCGTCTTCTTTCGTCTCTAAATCCTCATTCATTTTTCTGACTCGTCTTCTTTCGTCTCGAAATTCTCATTAGTTTTTTGACTTGTCTTTTTTCGTCTCTAAATCCTCGTTAGCACACTTAGGCCTGTGTCTGGATCTGCTGACGTATTGCGGTAAGCGTGTCGACTCATTTCCGTTTCCGGTGCTTGTGTGTTGGTACCGTGTTGTGCTGCTCTCGCTAAATACCAGTTACATTTGTTTGATTACAGCGGCCAACTGTTCGCTAAACACTTATTCTTTACAGTAATTTTGCCTAAGCACTCACAGTTCTTTCCATCTTTTAGTGACTGCTGTTCAATCTCATAGTTGTTCAAAAGTTTTGGTAGCTGACGCTACAGTACTTTAGCTTAGCCGTTAGCGACTTTAGCTTAGCAGCTAGCGATGGCTTCTCCTTCTCCCTCTCTCTCTCCTACTTTCTCCTGCTCGGTGTGTCAGATGTTCAGTTACTCCTCTGCCTCCTTTAGCGGTAATGGTACGTGTAATAAGTGTAGTTTATTTATAGACATGGAGGCGAGGCTCAGTGATTTAGAAGTCCGGCTCTGCACCTTGGTAGATCAGTCTTTAGCTACTGTAGCTAGCCAGTCCTCGGTAGTCGGTGTGGAACGGCCTGAGTTAGCCTGTGGTAGCCGTCCACCGGCATCCCCTGTGCAGCCAGGAAAGGGGGGGGGGGGCTGGGTGACTGTCCGAAGGAGGAATAGTCGTAAGCATTCAAAGTCCACGGGGCATCATCAACCTGTTCACGTTTCTAACAGATTTTCCCCACTCAGCGACACACCCGCTGAGAAACCAACTCTGATCATTGGCAGCTCCATTTTGAGAAACGTGAAGTTAGCGAAGCCAACAGCCATAGTTAAGTGCATCCCTGGGGCCAGAGCGGGCGACATTGAGTCTTATTTGAACCTGCTGGCTAAGGATAAACGTAAATACAGCCTATATGTTAGCCTAAATGAATCCACCCCTCCCAGTCAT